GTGTGCTCTTCCGATCTAATTTATTTATAACTTAATGTTCCCCTTATCCTTTTTTTATGAAAAATTTATTTTGTATTGTCTAAATGTAGGACAAATTACCCTTAAAGTTTTAGAAAGATCGACATCATGGTTTGTTTAGAAAAAATTCCCCAAAAATCAGCTCTTTTTCAGCGTTCTAAACTAGGTTCCTCCCTTAAAACATCCCTTTAAAAAAAAATCGATTTTTTTTATTTTAATGGGAATATCGTCAAAACTATGAAAAATAGAAAAAAAATGTTTCTAATAAAAGTTGAATGGCTTTAAGAGTACTTTATAATTATAATTTAAAATAATTTTTTTATTGTTTATTTTTTTGTTTAGCCCCACCACCCAACATTTTTTTTTATTTAAAAAAAAATTTTTTTTATCAAATTAAAGGGTATTTTAAGACGAATTCAACCATGTGTGATAAAGTTATTTTCCGAAGTTTTTGAGAAATAATTATAAACACCTCTGCACACCGTACTCGTTTATGCGCTGATTTACCTACGTGAACTTGACACCCGACTTTTACTAAAATAAGTTTACAATAAAAAAAGGTCAGTATTTTGTTTTTAGTTGTTTGTAGTAGTATAATTTTGTTTGTAAATTTATAAAAAGAATTTTGAAAAAATGACTATCATCCGACTTCGAGTTACAGAAAAAACAATATTATATCTTGATTTAGAATCGTTTCTAATTATTTGTAATTACTTTCTCGTCGTTTGTAGTTGAATCATTTAAAAGTTACAATATATTAGCAGTAAATAAAAAACGTAACTTTGTCAATTTTTAAGATACCTCGAATTCGCTTGCGGCACAATTTTTATAATCATGAGAACTGATCAGTTCTCCAAATGTATTCATATAATATTATGTATTATTAAATAATGTGAATGATAAAGATTGATTTAATATCATTTCCTTATTTTCCTTTACCTTTCCTTATTTACCTTTTTTTTCATTTCTTCATTTCTTCAACTGATCAGTTCTCCAAATGTATTCATATAATATTATGTATAATTAAATAATGTGAATGATAAAGATTGATTTAATATCATTTCCTTATTTTCCTTTACCTTTCCTTATTTACCTTTTTTTTCATTTCTTCGTTTCTTATTTGTAACCTGTAAGTGAAAATTAAATGTTATGATCACATCACATTTTAATGAAGGAGGAAACTATTTACAACAAAGATAAAATACAGAGATAAAAAATATAATAATGTCGGATGATAGTCATTTTTTCAAAATTCTTTTTATAAATTTACAAACGAAATTATACTACTACAAACAACTAAAAATAAAATACTAATCTTTTTTTATTGTAAACTTATTTTAGTAAAAGTCAGGTGCCAAGTTCACTTAGGTAAATTAGCGCATAAACGAGTATGGATGGTGTGCGTACAGAGGCGTTTATAATTATTTCTCAAAAATGATACTTCGAAAAATAACTTTATCACACATGGTTGAAGTTGTCTTAAAATACCCTTTAATTTGGTAAAAAAAATGTTTTAAAAATTAAAAAAAATATTGGATGGTGGGGTTAAACAAAAAAATTATTTTGAATTATAATTATAAAGTACTCTTAAAGCCATTCAACTTTTATTAAAAACATTTTTTTCTATTTCTCGTAGTTTTGACGATATTCCCATTGAAATAAAATCTATTTTTTTCTAAGAAATATTTCACCCCCTTAACGCGCGACTCAGTACGTATAAAAAATTGTAGTATCTTATTTTTGTCTGTAGTTTAACATATCCAAAGCTCATTGAAATCGGAGGGGGACACTTCTGAATGTTCCCTTGTAAGTTATCATTGCAGATTTTTATTAGAGACAAAGAAATCGACTTTCCTGATGAAAAAATGGAACATGTAAACGTAGACAATATTCAGAATCTTTTTCAGAAAGTTTCGAATATGCATCCATGTAAGGAAGTCATCAGTGAAACTCGATATATATTTGTTTTTATTTATAAAACTAGCGGTTACCCAGCGTGCGTTGCAATGCTACTTAAAGGAAAGAAAGTGCTTGTGTTTTAATTCCGTTTATTGAAGTGCTTTTAGATACACAATATTTTTTGTTTTCCATCTGGTGCGTACACGAATAAATCAGAAGTTTTCCGACGCGTGAGCAGGCCACATACA